TACCAACTGCGCCACCCTGCAGCCCCCAAAACTCACCAGTGGGTTGAAAAGACTAAAAGTTACACAATTCATCATAAAGGAAATGTTAACAGGAAGAATTGTTTCTTGTGTAACTTTAGATCTGTCGGGCAAAAACAACCAAATCTTACCTACAAATCTGGATATTGTATCATTATCACTTTGTTCTACATGTCTCATTTAAAATTTTGCCAAAATGTACAGTTTGCAGTGAAAAGATCCTGTAAAAATCAAAAAATTCTGCGGCACAACTGCAAAGCCATTAGTGACTCAGATACATCCAAGAGTCACTAAAAAAAATCCCGGGACTTCTTGGCTGGCCTGGGCTGAACTGCAGGCTGTGCTTAGACAGAGCAAACGAGTCTGGAAGCAAAGCATAAATATAAGCACAACACAGCTGTATTATGTAGAGCCATCACCTTTTTTCAGGTGTGCACTTGGAATAGTAATGTACATGTTAATTCCTTTTTTTTTTTTTTTTTTTAAATAACTTTCTTTTACTGCACAGTTGACATTTTTGAGTTCTCTCTACTTCTAGCAATGGTGGTGCTGTTTCCAATGAGCCCACAGTGAGTAAAAAATGTGATAGGAGCAAAAACACCCAGGTATTGTTCAGGGGTTGAGAGGGTTAAGTGAAAAAAAAATCAACCCAACCACTTCTCATTTTTTGTTCATACAATTGATTCTAGGGGTCTCCTAATTGGACCGTTTCTACACAATGAGTAATCTGATCTAATCCTGAAACAGTGTCCTGCTTTGTATAAAGGTCTGTTCGGGGTCATCCAAACAACAGCTCACTACATCAGGTAATCAACACCTCAGCTGGACGTCAGCTGTGCTGCACGATAAGAGCTCAGTCCTATCGCCACCGTTCCCCTACAAGCCGTGACCTGCCACGCTGACTCATAATCACCTCCGCAGGTGAACTAGCGCGAGCAGAGTCGCAGCATGTGTTGGCAAACATTCATACACACAGCTACACATGAACACACATGCACCGCCGCACGCATGGATTTAACCTGAGCGGTCAGCGGCTGCAACTGTAAAACTGGAATGTGCTAGATGGGTTAAGCAACAATATTTGACAAAGTGGAGCTGAGTGTGTTGGGTAGTTGCTGTGATTTTAACAGGTATGTGGTCATTCTGGAACTAAGACTGTAAATCACAAGTTTTACCACAAAACTACAACTTTATATCTATTCTTTAGAAAATGGTGCAATACTCACTGCATTGCTATGAATTAGATTCAATTCAGTGGCCTGCCATCAGTAGAAGACAATATCAATGAATGAATGTAGATCAATTCACAAAACGCAATTCAAATATCCATCCATCCATTATCTATACAATGCTTAATCTTCACTAGGGTCGTGGGGGGCGGGAGTGAAGGCAGGAGACACCCTGGACAGGTCACCAGTCTATCACAGGGCTACACTTAGAGACAGACAACCAAGCACACTCACATTCACACCTATGGACAATTTAGAATCACCAATTAACCTCAACATGTTTTTGGACCTTGTGGGAGGAAGCTGGAGAACCCGGAGAGAACCCACGCTGCACGGGGAG